CATGCCTTCCATTCGCCCCATATCCCTGGCCGTTCTTTGCCTGTGCAGCCATCAGGCGCTGATTGCCCAGACCCGGGGCGGTGACACCGTGCTGGAGGCTGTGACGGTGGAGGCCAGCGCCGACGCATCGGCCCAGGGCCTGTCCAAGCCCTTCGCAGGCGGCCAGGTGGCCACGGGGGCGCGCAACGGCGTGCTGGGCACGCTGGACTGGAAGAACTCCTCGTTCTCCACCACCAGCTACACCCAGCAACTGATCGAGGACACCCAGTCCAAGAGCGTGGGCGACGTGCTGCTCAACGACCCGGGCGTGCGCCAGGCGCGCGGCTTCGGCAACTTCCAGGAGCTGTATGTGCTTCGCGGCTTCCCGGTCTATTCGGACGACATCGCCTACAACGGCCTGTACGGCCTGCTGCCGCGCCAGTACATCGCCTCGGAGTTCTTCGAGCGTGTGGAGGTGCTGCGCGGCGCCAACGCCTTCCTCAATGGCGCAGCACCCGGCGGCAGCGGCATTGGCGGCACCATCAGCCTGCTGCCCAAGCGCGCCGGCAACGATGCGCTGACGCGCGTGGGCGCCGGCATACAGACGGGCGGCCAGGCCTTTGTCTCCACCGACATCTCGCGCCGCTTCGGCCCTGACCGGAGCACCGGCATCCGCCTGAACGCCGTGCGCCGCGACGGCGGCACGGGCGTGGATGGCGAAGACCGCTCGCTCACCGCCCTGGGCCTGGGCCTGGACTGGCGCAGCCGCAACGTTCGCCTGTCGGGCGACGTGGGCTACCAGCGCAACAGCTACAACGGCGGTCGCCCCAGCGTGACGCCCGGCAACTTCATCCCGGCCGTGCCCGACAACAAGACCAACTACGGCCAGAACTGGTCGTACTCCACCGAGCGCGACCTGTTCGCCACGCTGCGCGCCGAATGGGACATCAACGACACCACCACGGCCTGGGCCGCAGGCGGCCTGCGCCGCGGCAAGGAAGACAACTCCCTGAGCGGCGTGACCGTCACGAATGCGGCCGGCGACACCACGGGCACGCGCTTCGACAACAAGCGCAAGGACAGCGTGGGCACGGGCGAGGTCGGCATCCGCACGCGCCTGGCCACGGGCAGCGTGGGCCATGAGCTGGTGGCCACGGCCAGCACCTACTCGGCCACCGAGCGCAATGCCTGGGGCATGGGCTTTGGCGTGGTCAACAACATCTACAACCCCTGGAGCAGCGCGCGCCCGGAGATGACGCTGTTCGGCGGCAACCTGGCCGATCCCACGCGCGTGGGTGAAACCCGGCTCAACAGCTTTGCCATCGGCGACACGCTGACGATGCTGGACGAGCGCCTGCGCCTGACCGTGGGCGTGCGCCGCCAGAGCATCGAGCAAAGCAGCTACGACTACAACACGGGCGCGCAGACCGACCACTACAAGAAGTCGGCCACCACGCCCATGCTGGGCCTGGTGTTCAAGACCAGCGAGAACACCTCGGTCTACGCCAACTACATCGAAGGCCTGACCAAGGGCGCCGTGGCGCCGCAGACAGCCAACGACCTGCCCGTGTCCAACGGCGGCCAGGTGTTCGCGCCCTACAAGTCGCGCCAGAAGGAAATCGGCTTCAAGTGGCAGGGCCAGCAACTGGGCGCCACGGTGGCGCTGTACACCACGGACATGCCTTCGGC